CAAGTAATCTCATCTCTTGCAAACTTCTGAGAAAAAATTTTTTTTAAATATATCTTTATTGATTTCAGAGAGAAAGAATGAGAGTGTCATTGAATGGCTGCCTCCTGCATGCCGACTGGGGATAGAGCCTGCAACCCAGGCATGTTCCCTGACCAGGAATTGAACCACAATCCTAGGCTGAAGCTCAACCACTGAGCCAAGCCTGCCGGGCTGAGAATATCTTTTGAACAGTCTTGTTGTCTTAACAGGGACTAAAATCTTTTTTACTGATAGAGATCTATGTCTTTTAGTTCAAAATAGCATTTTTGGTTTGTTCTTTATCTCCGTTAGTTTCAGCATGGAGAGATGGGAGTTCCAAAACAGTGACCTATATAATTTTTAGTACTTTCATGTTCATATTCTACTTATTCAGAAAGTTTCTGAATTAAATTACAATTATTCTTGCTACAGAGCTATGCTTTATCAATTATTTTCTTCTTCCTCTTGAAAATTATGGAGTTATAGAAGAGTGACCTTTGTTTAGTCTGAAATTCTAACGTAAAGTATATAACTAGCTGGGCATATCTCAAGATGCAAATGATTCAGATTTTTTAAATTCCAAAAGAACTGCATTATACCAACAAAAACAGTGATACATCAATACATTCAAATAGCACATGGTATAGCAGATCCAACATCAATACTGCAATAACTATGCACGAGAAGCATGTTAATGTTTTCTATGTTCACTTAAAGCATTTATTCAGCCTTTAGTAGACAATAAGCTCTAAGTATAGGATCTATTTGTAATTCTTTGTATCTCCCACCTACCTCTGTATCATTTACTAGCTCTTGATCTCTCAGCCTCAGTTTCCACAGCTATAAAACTGGACTCTAAACTGAGAATATTAAATGAAATTTAAATAAAGTATTCAATGCAGTGCTGGACACTGGTGGCTATTATTCATTCATTCATTTAATTAAACAAGTAAATACAAGTTGAGCTTGTACTGGCTAGTACTCCCAGAATAATATTAAATACAGTAATGATAGTTAACAGTTTTTAGTGGTCAGATTCATATATCTGAATCTGGATCAACATCCAGGTTTTATGTCGTCAAAGCAAAGTCAATGAATACTGTATTTCAATAAAATTAAAAGGTAATGGTTCTCAGCAGGAGTCCTTTAAAATGATGTGTTCTGAGCACAATTAAAGTGATTTTATTTATCCAAAATAAATTTGCACACTATCAGAACATATCTGTTGTGTGAAGGGAGATATGTATGTCATCTAACACCTTCCTTAATCCTACAATATCTGGTAACATAACAGCATCCATATTGATGTTCCATCTTCCCACCTGTCCCTCTCATTTCACAGTTCTTTGTAACTCTGGGATCCTACTGATTTTGATTTCTATCTCACATTAGCCTCTCTATTCATCACTACTCTGCACCCCAAATCTCCAACTTGAGCCTAGGGTTATTCAATGGTTACTTAAGGATAAAGCCAGAGCTACAGTTTGGGATTAACTACTTTAAATCTAGTTTTCTTTATATCATACTTTTTTACCCTGGCTCAGATTCCACAGTCATCTTTCACTGTAGTCCTTGCTATTTACTATCCTGGACCACTCCCTGTTACTGGTACTCTGCCCTCATACCAATAACAGTATCATTCTCCTGGAGCTGACATTTTATCCTTTGTCCTGGGACCAGAGAACATGACTAGCAAAAAGGAGAGTTAAGAACAGAACTCGTTTTCATGTATATGTATTCATATTTTAACATAAAAATTACCTAGAACAGAGCTAATAAGCATTGCTTTGCATAGTTTCTCTTTGGTTTCTTAACTCTCTAACCGCCCTGGGCTCATTTTTCTTTTTACTCTAGTCTCTTTCCCTTTCCTCTGTTTTAGACTCTTAATCGATTCCATAATCATAAGTATGAAATCTAATCATAGGCTTTATGGCTAGAAAGGACTTCAAAGATCACCTCTATTTACAGATGAGAAAACTGAAGCCTACAGATTAAATTATTTGCCCACAGTAACAGAGCTGAATCAAGTATCCAGATGTCTTAATTAGTTTTTCCTGTTTTGCTCCTTCAAATCAGTACACTTAGTTAAGTAAATGCTCTCAGACTGTATTTATTATTTAGAGAGCAAATGGACTTCCTGGCTCTAATCTAATCTGAAAAAATACTTAGTTGTTGGTATATTCATTGGAATAACTCCAAAGAGTGACCTCATACTACTCTTAGCATATAATTATGGTTTAAATACTGAGGTACTTTAGCTATATCTCTACATGATCTATTATATTTTGGAAGAAGCAGAACTGGTACAGAAAGAACTTTTGTAGTTCATTTTCAGAAGTACTACTGGAAAACCTTAATATTTTGAATTAAAAAATTATAATTAATGTTGATAATAAATTTTTATATGACAGATACAAAAGTATTGTACATTAATGTAACCAGAAGATTCTCTTAAATTCAAAGCAGGAATATTCAGAAAGTACATACATGACTTAGCTGTTCTTTATTCTTTCTTGTATGTAATATAATTATATTAGTGGGATACACTGAGTAAAAGGGAAATGGTCAAGTAAATGAATTATCTTGTACATTAACATAAACTAGGCACTATTAATAATACACTTTAAATTTACATGGCCAGTCTGCTTTTTTCATATTTGGTCTATGTGATTCTTATTTCAACCTCAAAAATTACCTTGTGAGTAGGTAGAATAGCTGCTACTAGCTTTCATTTCCATATACCATTACTATACATAGTATTCTGAATGAATACACAATTTCAGACTTTTTAAAAGAACTTCACATTAAGACTGACTCTTTTTTACTCCTAAAACACTGGAGTAAGCCTTATACTATACATGAAGGTATACTTACAAGTATTATATCTATGCAATGAAAGGAAGACTATTAAAATTCTTACCTAGACCTTTAATGTTGATAGCAAAATAACTGTCAAAAGAATAGGAATGCCTTCTGTTTGCTATATGAAATACATCATATATTTGGAGTAACAAAAGATATACGAGGAGAAAAGTACACACATGGAGGAATTTTAGCAGCTAAGAGGTGGAAATAAGGCAAATAAAAAAATTTCAGGGTAACAATGTGTTTCTCTGGTAGATTTATATTCAAATGAAATAGACTGCAATTTTACATATAGACCAACACTTTCCCTTTTTCTTCTTTTTTTAATATATTTCCCTATTTCCAAAAAGGATTGAGGAAAATTACTAACAATTATACCGAATTAGACCATTTATTCATAGCTGTCAAAGAAATATAGTAAGGTGATTAAAAAAAAAAGTATTATAATTAGATATCAGTCTGTACTTTTTGTTTTATTTCCAGCTCAGAAGTAAAATGTTTTTAACCTCAAATTTCTCTTGAGTTTTACTATGCCTTGATTTTATTTTATTTTTACTTTTTACTTTTTTAATCCTCACCTGAGGATATTTTTTTCCATTGCTTTTCAGAGAGAGTGAAGGGGGAGAGAGGAAGGGGGGGGGGGGAAGAAACATCTATGTGAGAGAGACACGTCTATCGGTTGCCTCCTGCATGCACCCAGACTGGGGCCAGGGATCACGCCTGATCACGCCTGCAACAGAAGAACATGCCCTTCGCTGGAATCAAACCCAGGACCATTCAGTCTGCGGAGTGACACTCTAACCACTGAGCCAAATCAGCTAAGGCTATGCCTTCATTTTAGCACAGGAATGTAATGTACAGGCTTACAAGTGTGATTTAATAAAATGGTTAAAAATTTTGACTACTTTCATCCCACAATTAACAGGTCATTAGTTTCCTTAATTTTTCCTCTTAAACATTCTTAAATATTTCAAGCATCAATACTGTGTTCCTTTCTAATGATGTTAATACCAAATGAGTACTGACAGGCTGGTAATGGTAATAAACATTAGGTTTATGGTATACTTAATATTCAGGGAGTAGTTTCCAACAAAAGAATGCCTGAGATTTTTACCTGGCGGAGGGGAGGCGATTAACACACATGGACCTCTGAGACCTATCTAATTGTTTATACAGAAATTAAGAAGTGCCCTGGCCCGTTGAGCATCGTCCGTGCATCAAAATGGTGCCAGTTCAATTCCCAGTCAGGGCACATACCCAGGTTGCAGGAGGCAACAAATCAATGTTTCTGTCTCCCCCTCTCCCTTCCTCTCTCTCTAAAAATCAATAAAAACATATGTTCCAAAAGTAGAAAGAAATAAAGAAGTATATTCTACAATATGGAGGGACACTCACAATAAGGGGGAAGTTTCAGCTGCTTATTGGTTATGCACTTCCACTGCAGCACTTATCTGGAAGCTTTCTATGGTAACGAAAGTAAGATTAATAACATCATACATTGGAGGAAGTGATCAGGATTATGAATTTTTTTCAAAATCTACCTTAACCATTATTTCCACTTGTGCTAACTGGAAATACAGTATGGAAATTTTATTATGTGGAAACTTGAAGAAATTTAATAAGCTACTTCCTTAAATTAGGTTTCAAAATTAGAAGACTTTTAAAGACCCAACTTGCAGGACCCTCAGGGTTATCAGTAAGAAAATATAGTGTCAGGCCCAGCTGGCGTGGCTCAGCAATTGAGCACTGACCTATGATCCAAAAGATCACAGTTCGATTCCCAGACAGAGCACATGCCCAGGTTTCAGTCCCGGTCCCGGCAGTAGATCAATGACTCTCTCTTGTCATTGATGTTTCTATCTCTCCCTCTCCTTTCCTCTCTGAAATAAAAATAAAAAATAATAATAATTAAAAAAAGAAAATATAAAGTGTCGAGAAACTTTATATGCATTATCTCATTTAATCTTCACCCACAACTCTATAAAGTCAGTAGTATTATCTTTATATTATATACAGAGAAATGGGTTCTCAGAGGTACAGAATTAGGAATCTTTCCACTTGACACCACAGGAAAAAAACAAAAGTACTGTTCATTTGTCCAAGGTATTCAGACTTACGTTGGTAAATACATGAAGCAAGTGGCTACTAGATGTTTATTCATTTCTCTTTGTGAACTGTCCTGAGTTCAGTAAAACCATAACTGTGAAGAACTGCAGTGTTCTGAAGGGAAAATAAAGAGATTTAGAAGAGTTACAAATTTTGATGAATGATTCAATGGTAGCCCTTGGAAAGCAAACCTCAGGATATATCTGAATCATCAAGTATCTTTCCTGTCAGTGTGACTGTTGAATCAAAGAAAACTTGAGTCAAAATTAAACTTCCCATAAGAAATACGATTTTTTATATTTTTGGAAATGGCTATATACATCTCAGAACTCCCCAGGAATTTCTGAATGGCTCAATTCTGTGTAATTTTTGTGTCCACCAGGCTTGAAAAGTACATTTTCTTTCATAAAATTGCTAAAATAAACGCTGAAAGTTGCACTATCTAAATCTTAGCATGGATTTGAGCCATAACATAATGCTGTAGTCCTTGATGATAGTTAAACCTTTGAAAAGTACTGAGTCTCTCACTTTTCTATGAATATAGTTGATTGCAGTTTTACTGCTTTTTAAAATTACTAAAAATTCCTTTATTTTACTTAGTCTAAATGTCATCATTATCAATAACAAATTAATAACCTATACACATTAATTTTTTTTAATATGAGGTGGGAGAGCTTGAATGCCCCTGCAAAAGAGACACTTATCAAGTGTCCAAGTTATAAAGTATAGGGCGCACTATGAAGCTATCTGCGGTGGGAAGCAAGAAGCGTGAACAGCCAAGGAAAACTGACCCCTGGGAACACTGCCCAGATTTCTTATTGACCTAGTGGTTAAGCAGTTAGTTAAGGCAAGGAGCTCTTCTTGGACTTTTGAATTTCACAAACCAGTACAATTTCAAATTAAATTTTAGGGACTGACAAAAAATTGTCAACCTTGTGTTTGTTTTAACCTCTTTACTTTAAAAAAAAAAAACACACATAAATTACTGCCTCCACTCACCATCATTTTATAAAACAAGCAATTTAATACAATACCCCCCAAGATAAAATCTCAGACGATGTAAGACAGTCCTTTCAATTAGCATAATTAGTAGCTTACTTTTAAAAATCACCACGTATTTATTTTTCTCATTTTATGCAGTATTAGTGGAACGTTTGTTGTGGGACCTGCATTTGAAAATCAACAGTCCAAAGCAAAGATTACCAAACACTGATTCTTAGATAAAAAAACAAGAGCTTTAAAAATAATGAATCCTGGGCTTCATTCCAGATCTATGGACTCAGTCTCTAGGATTAGATGCCCAGGAATTTTGATGTTGAGTTTGGGGACAATGATCCATAGTATATATAAACTTAAGTATGATTTAGGCAGTTCTTGGTAACAGGAATGTTAAATCTGGCCCATCTGGGCAAAAAAAGTTCCAGGAACAAGTGCTTTTAGAAATCAAGTAGAAACGTGCTTGGGGTTCAATGTCTATTTATTTGGCAGATGTACTAAGAACAGTACACCTCACACCTCAATGGATAAGGTGTACTAAGAACAATGGTATGTCAGGATCTGGAGTATTGGCAGGTACTAGGAAAGTAGTAAGGCCACAGTTCTCCAGGGTGATGAAAATACGAAACACAGGCAAGATAACCAGTTTGAAACTAAGGCAACATCTAGGTGTTGACCTGGGACCACCATGGCATATAGAGTGTTGTTATTTAAGAGTTACTATCATAGCATAGTTTTGGAGAATGTGATTTATTTTAAACCCTGTGGTTTTAAATCTCTGTAAGAATAAGCTAAGAAAGTGCTTGGCACGGTATTTATGCATAGTAAATGCTCAATAAATGTGTTGAATAAAGCAAATTTTACTTCAGAATATTTTTTTAAACTATTTTTCTTCTTCTCTTGGGAAAGGTTTCAAAATTCTGCAAAATGTACATAGTTAAACATAGAATAGAGTAATAGGTTTAATATGCCACACTCATGATTTCAGCACAAGAACCTTTTCCGTGTTGAAAAAAACATTCAAAACAAAAGTAAATAATGCACATCTATTTCTCAGTCACCAAGAGCTGTAAAAGAGAACAATAAAGTCCCTAACATTTGACTCTAGAATACAGCTGACATTAAGTTTTCAATAGCAGGTTTACTTTCCAAATGTTTTTCTTCAGCTGATTTCTATATTAATGTGTGGTGTGTGTTTGTTTTCAGTTTACACCTGTTCATTCTGAGAGACCTTGTTGGCAGATGAAGGTTAATCAAAGACTGAACACTTGCCACCAGTAATGTCTACAGAAAATAGAATAGCAGAGTAGTTGAGAGTTCAGACCCTCTAGCCAGACTATCTGGGTTTGAATCTCAATCCCACCTCTTGCTCTTCAAACTACTTAATCTGTGTGTCTCGCTTCCCTCATCTGTAAAGTAGGGGATAATAATACCTACATAGTAGTTTTTATTAAAAGTAAATAAATATTTGTAAAGCATATATGGTTAAGTGTCTGATATGTTACTTTTACTAATTTGGAACAATCAAATACTGACTTCAGTTTTACAGACCTTTGACTTTTTTTTAACTGAATATTTTCTTTAATTCTCATGAAGATATCACACACAATGATATAATAAACAAGCTGTATCACACATTCAATATATCAAAAATCCTGATCTCATTTTAAATAAACTTTAAAAGATTTTTTTTAAGGTGGCATGTGCCCCAATTCTTAAGTAAATTTAAACATGCTACCAGGTGAGAGTAATAGTGGGGAAAGCAAGCTGTCAGGACCCAAAAATCCAAGGCTTCGACTGCTCTTTGCCTGAGGACCTTTTGACTTTTAACTTTTCAAAGGAGTTTTGTGTTGTTATCCACAATACGATTTTTGAGAAAGAATGATTGTCCTTCCTTAAACTACAGATACAGATTATAGATTAGATGCTGCTAACCCTCTTACAACGCACAGGTCAACTCCACCTCTGCCTCAACAAGGAATTTTCCAGCCAAAATGTTAATACAGCCAAGGTTAAGAAACCCTGGACTATGCTTCTTTTGAAAAATACATTGGTAATGCAGAGACTGGAGGCCCAGAAATTACCTGAAAGCTACTTAGAACAGGAATGCTCTGAAGAACTGACCTGGGTGGGAAGAGAAGGCGAGAGAGATAGGGTGTGCCCTTTATGAGCCCACACAGATTTAAGACTCGTACATAATCAAGATGAAGCCAAGAGTGTTTTAAACTTTAAAGGATGAAAAATGGGGGTGATGAGATTCTGCGTAGCATACTAAAGAGGAAACGACAACTGCCAAAACTTGAAATTAGAAATGAGGACTGAATGTCAAGAAACACTAGTAAGGGGGACTCCTGACCTCCATATGAACATTTCTGGTATAAGGAAAAAGAATCTGAGAACTTAACAGTTTTTAAATTGTAATATATCCAGGTAACATTTAATGTTTCTGCCTCAGATAAAGCTTATTGGG